CATTTTACTATGAAGATGATAGTTAGAATTAAGATTTTTCAAAGCATCAAGAATTTGTTGCCACTATGTTAGGGGTGATGTTTGTTATACTTGTTTCTTCACTCGTTTTAGGTGGTGCATGAGACTTCTCACCCTTATGATAAATGTTATGGGTGCTTGTTGTTGTTGTGGTTAGCACATACATAAAGGTTGCGAGAGCCTGTGCTAAAAGCATGAGCTCTTATCGTGCCCTTCTCTATTGTGTTGATTACATAAATTCTCCAAACTTTCCACAAATTTTGATTTACCTCTCACATTGGGTGTGACTCAAAAGGCCATGACATTGTCACGATTCTTATGATTCAAGTATTCTCCTTGCAAAAAACTCTCATCTTGCACGACTCTATAATATGCTTGATCTGTATTTGGTAAAAGATATTGTTAAAGCAAATTTGAGAGGATAGTATTATAATTCCCATTGAGACCAATCAAAAAATGGTGGAGGTAATCTTCATCATGAAAATTAGTCACCTGTTTATTGATATTACACAATCATCCTCCACATTTGCAATTTGAATTTTTGACATACGTCACAAGTCCATCCCATATACGAGATTGACACATAAAGTAGACCAACAAATGCTAATTCTTCCCTTGTTTGCATTCTCCTAGAGATGTTTTTAGTTGGCACATACGAGTCCTGTTGACAACACAAAAACATTACTTGAGATGTGTCCACACGGGATCCACGTCATCTGGATAAGAAAGAGTAGAGTTCAATGATGGCTTGATGGTGTTGAGCAACCATGCTTTGAACACCGAATGCATTATGGTCCAGTCTTTCAGTTTCTCAGGTATCGTTGATTTTGTAATTTTCCCTTCTGCAAAATCATATTTCTCTTTGCTTGCAATAGGGTTTGAATGACCCTCGGCCATTCATGATAATTAGAATGACACCGTTTTAATGGTGTAATAACATTTTCAGGATTGTCACTTGTGCCAAGAAAATAAGTCAAAGATACATTCTTAACGCTCTTACTATTATTCTCACTTCTCCCATCATTTCTAAGCATAATTTCTTAAGGTGTTTGATTTGTAAAAATATCATGTTTAATTTTATCCATGGCATTCTCTTACTTTTATCACATAACAAGATTTACCATAACTTTTGTGCTTTTTTATTTCATCAACATATTAATATATAGACCATACAAAATGTTATAAAACTGACTAAATTTCCAACACTACTCATACTTATAATTAGTATTGAAATTCTCTTTGATCAGAGACAAAATGTCACACACCATATTGAAATAATATGCGAGACAAGATAATCTGAAATAATAAATGAAGACTAAACATAATAATAAATAAAAGACATAAGAAATTGTTAACTCAGCTCAGTGTAATTTCACCTACGCCTGAAAGACAGTAACCTAGTGGAAACAAAAATCACTAATAATTAATAGTCAATAGTACACGACACTCTTATATAAACTATCATCAGTTCATAATCATTTTTGTAATACTATCCATGAATTTTAACTTAGACTCTCCTAAATCTGAGACCTTCTCACTTCCACTTAAAAACACTCCCAATTGTTTGTGAGTCTTCAGTAATAAGAAAGTGATAAACTTCACGAAATAAACTCACAAGTCTATCGCTCAAAGAATGACATTTTGAATCTGAAACAATATAACACACAATTCGGATATGAATTTTTTCAACAGGTCATGCAGAATCGCAAATCAAACCAAATATTTCTAAAAATAACACACCAATGAAAGATAAGATATCTCAACAATTTAATTGACATCTTATTTAATATTTTGCCGATAGAAATAATCAACCATATAAAATAACAAGTATAATAACTAATGTAAAAGTAAAAGTTCCTAAATATAAATTGTATCATCCTTAACCTTAACTCAATAATGTCTCATCAATAGTATAGTATTAATTAAGGGTGTAATCAGGCTGGTTTGAACCAGTTTTTAGTTTAAAAAAAGTCCAAACTGAAGATATCTCCATCGATTTGTTTTGGTTCGATTTTTAATATTTTTCAAAAATGGAACCAAACAAAACTAGACAATTTGGTTCGATTTGATTTGGTTTGATTGATCGGTTTACGATTTTTTTTCAAACATTATATTCATCAGTGTATTTTTCAATATTGTAATTTTGATGTATTTTATGCTATTATTCTTTAAAATAATATATTTCATATAATTTATTTCATGCCCTATTTTTTCAAATAAATTATAAGTTGCTCTTAATCCATACGGAATAGGGATATGATTTCCATTGCATCATGAAATAAGTTCACTATTAAATATAAAAGTTAACACTTGACATCAGAAACTTGGGAAGGTATTTGAAATCTTAACAAATATAGCACAACAAAACACACATCAATTAACATGTTTCACACCTGAAACATACATCAAATCTATTTTGTAACAATACTAGAAGGAATATTTTGAATAAGAAACAACAAAGGTAAAAACAAAATGTGAAAATTAACGAAGAGAACTTGAACATGAAGAAGACATCATAACATATCAGAATGATAATATAGAGAACAACAATTGTGGCGGACAACGAGAGAAGCAGTTCACTGGAAACAAGTTTTTGTGACTTATGATTTTCACTTTCTATGTTTTAGTGTTTGGTTATAGATGTGTGTTTTGCTAAAAGGAAGAAATTGTAAATAAAGATGGAGAATAGTTGGACTGATACAAAACTTTAGTTTAATGATGAATAAAATAAAAAATTTAGAATGTAATTATATCTATTAGTTTGGTTCATCTATTCCTAAAAACTAAAACCGAAAATCAAACCAAACCACATCGATTTTCATTAGTTTAGTTCGGTTTTTGAATAACAATCAATTTTATTTGGTTTGATTTAGATTGTCAACTTAATTAATTTTTCTGATCCGCTTACACCCTTAATACTAATAATTTCGAGTTTCAAAACTTGATGAGCTGAGTATCTAGTTTGATGAATGTTCTTTTCATAAAACTATTTCCCCAAGACCATAAACAATGATAAGTCATAGTTTAAAAGTCATTCCACTCATCTTCAAGCTTCAAGCTTCCAACTCACATCTTTGCTCATCTTCCAACTCACATCTTTGCTCATATTAAATTAAACTAATGCTTAAAATCTCTCCTAACAAATTTTCCTATTACTCATATGCAACACATTCAACCGAACAGGCATGAGACACTCTCATAATATTGATATCGAAGTCAACAATGTTTTAATATTCCAACAACATCAAACCTTGTTTTAATTTAATATGTAGTTTTAGTAGTTATCTAATATCTATATCTTTTATCATCATCTCTTTGTTTGCATTCTAACTTGTTTGTTATTTTTCTTTTAGTATGATCTGTTTGGCATCCAATGGCAGAGGATTCCTCGCCCACATATTTTATGTCCAAGAATATATGTGCTACTCCTTTCGAATGAGAACTTGTTTGATTAAACAAACATTACAACGACAAGAAATTGATGGCTTACTTTGGCCACAAAAGGATTTGTTTATAAAGATACAACTATTAAATGACAATATCAATATTTATATGAACTATATCGCATGAATAATATTAAGAATTTAATTAAAATGTATTGATAGTGTAAAAATATTTAAAATAATATTTTTAAAATAATAACTGTTAATTTATTTAAAATATTTGATTTTAATTCTATTTTTTTTAAATAATAATTTAAATGATTAGGATGTATTGATGATGTATATTTTTTATATCAATAATATATAGTAATTAAATTCAAATACTACTCCATCTCTTTTTTTTTTAATGTCATTTTAACAAAAAACTTTTCAACTAAGATAGTAGTTTGTTAGAGTTATTTTTATTATTATACGTTTATTTATTTTCTCTTTTCAATAAATTCAATTATACTTTCTTTTTTTTTTTTCAATAATTAATTGAGAAAATAATTAATTTTATAAAAAATGTGAAGTAGAGTTATTGAGAAAGTAAGAGTATAATTGACCAATTATAATATTAAATTATAAAAATGACACTTAAATAGAAATAAAAATATTTTTTTAAAATGATACTTAAAAAAGAATGAAAGAGTAATTAATTAAGAGTGATAAAATGATTGAACAGGATCAAGTTATTTGATATAATATTTTATGTAAAATAAAAAAAATTAATGTTAATTTTAATCTTCTTTTATTTTAATTTATATAACTTTTTAGCATTTTTAGCATTAAATATAAACTGTAATAAAAAATATTATATTTAAAAAATATTATTTTAAATATTTATAAGTTAACAATATTTAAAAAATACTATTTTTTAAGACCTCCAACTCTAACACAGACATAAAGTTCATGTACTTCAAAATACTTATTTTTTTATATAATGTTTAGAGGAGTTGAGTTTATGAGATTTACCAAGATCAGTGAAAAACTCAAAACATATAAAATATTTTCAGAAATATTTATATGCTATCCCTCAGCTAAGCCGTAATTTTCAAAAAATACTTATTTAATAATCAATGCTATTTTTAAAGATAGATTATTATGCATAATTTAAAATTTGTCAAAGATAAATTATGACTAAATAAGTTCACATAAAATATTTATAATTAAATTAAAATATATTAAATAAATTGATTATTTTTTTATAATTAAATTACAATTAATTTATAGGCGATCTTTAAAAACTTGATATTACCGTGCTACTTATATATATATATATATATATATATATATATATATATATATATATATATATATATATATATATATATATATATATATATATATATATATATATATATATATATATATATATATATATATATATATATATATATATATTAAAACACTAGCCATGACAAGTTATGAAAATGGCCATATATATAATTTCCAAAAAAACAATAGTTTTTAAGCACAAAAGAGATTAGAAACACAGCACAGCCATCACAGGTGCTTTTCTTCAAATTAAAAGAGTGCCAACATAAAGAGAATCAAAGCATGGAGATAAGTCCTTACAGTACTTCCAAGAGAACAACACACTTGAAGAAGTTGATCAACCAAAATAACTATATTGTTCATGAAGCTTCACCCATAGACATGATTCCTACATCATCAATCAATCATCAAACATCTTCAGATAATTCTAGTGAAACATGTCATCACGATCAAGATGGTAAATGGTCGTCCAAACTTCTCAAAGAGTGTGCAATAGCAATATCTAATAGAGATTCATCCAAAATCCACCATCTTCTTTGGATGTTAAATGAGTTATCTTCACCTTATGGTGATATTGATCAAAAACTAGCTTCCTATTTTCTACAAGCTCTTTTCTCCAAGGCAACACAATCTGGTCACAAGTGTTACAAAACTCTCTCTTCAATTGCTTCCAAAAACCACTCTTTTGATTCTGCAAGAAAATTGATACTCAAGTTTCAAGAGGTGAGTCCATGGACAACTTTTGGACATGTTGCATCAAATGGTGCTATTTTGGAAGCTTTAGAAGGAGAGAAAAAGCTTCATATAATTGATATTAGTAACACACTTTGTACTCAATGGCCTACTCTTCTAGAAGCTTTAGCTACAAGAAATGATGAAACACCTCATCTTAAGCTCACAATTGTTGTCACAAGCAAAAACTCTAGTGATGTTGTTATGAAGGAAGTTGGTCAAAGAATGGAGAAATTTGCTAGGTTAATGGGAGTACCTTTTGAATTGAATGTTATTAGTGGTTTGAAACATCTAAGAGAATTAACAAAAGAGAGATTAGGGTTGAAGAAGGATGAAGCAATAGCTTTGAATTGTGTTGGAGCATTGAGAAGAGTTCAAGTAGGAGAAAGAGAAAGCTTGATTAAGTTTTTCAAATCACTTTGTCCTAGAGTTATAACATTTGTTGAGGAAGAAGGTGATTTTGTTAGTGATGATTTTGTTAAATGCTTTGAAGAGTGTCTCAAGTTCTATACACTTTATTTTGAGATGTTGGAGGACAGTTTTCCTTCAACAAGTAATGAAAAGTTGATGTTGGAAAGGGAATGTTCAAGAAGCATTGTTAGGGTTTTGGCTTGTGATAGTGAATTTGATCATGATAATGATGATGAAGAAGGTGGTGATGATTGTGATAAAAGAGAGAGAGCAAAACAATGGTTTCAAAGACTAAAGAATGAATTTTCACCTTTTGGATTTAGTGATGATGTTGTAGATGATGTCAAAGCTTTGCTAAAAAGGTATCAAACTGGTTGGTCACTTGTTGTGCCTCAAGGTGATGATAATATCTCAGGAATTTACTTGACATGGAAGGATGAACAAGTTGTTTGGGCATCAACATGGAAACCCTAGAAGTTTATGTATCTATATATATATATATTATCATTATATATATATATATATGAATCTATATGGCTAATGATGGTATAGAGAAAATAATGAAGAGATTATTTTAATAAATTTAGGATGTTTGGCTTGCTAGGATTGGATTTTTCTTTTAACTTTCTCTTTTGATTTTGTATACTTTGTAATTTTTCTTCTGTCCAACTTTCTATAAAAGAGCACTATGGCATTGGAGTTTGTGTTGCTAAAAAATTTTTTTACACTTAATATATTGTTCTTGTTTGAAGGTGTTTGAACTTGTGCTCTTTTTACTAATTCTATTTGTTTCAGTGCATTGCTACCTTGTCAGATTCAGCCTTCAGGAATGATGATGATAAAGATAATACTTTCTTACACATGACATAAAATGGAGTATTCATTTTGTTCTCTTTGCTTTGTAGTAAACAATCTATTGAGGCAACTTTGTACCAAATAATTAATGATATAAATAATCGAATGATTATGTGTAGTTGACATCATGACATTATCTCCTCATAGAAAATTATCTTAATTTTCAAAAAGAACAAAACGAAAAGATAAACAAATAAAATCTAAAATCTCAATTAAGATGAGATGTCAATTGTCCCAAATAGTTAGTTTGGTTGGTGAAATATTAAATAAATTCTATCTAAAAGGTAGCATAAACCGTGTGTTTGCAATTACATGTGAATGTATCCGAGAAAGAGGCTGAAAAAGGGTGCAATATAGTGATTAGTGACTATATAAATTTCCTTTATCTTTTCTTTTTACTATTAAAAAGGCAACTTGGTGGAAAGAAAAGGGAAGAGACCTTAGTGGGAAACATGGAAACGTACACGATGTGCTATAATTTCAAAAAAGTTATAATCAGCATCTACATCTAAAATATTTTCCATAGGCCATAATACAGTTTTTCGGATAGTCATAGTAATACCACACAATTTCATGCAATCATTAATTTTGATTTTTGATTTGAGATTGGATGGTTAAAGTCTCACCATTACTTTCATGCAGTAAATAAAATAATGTCTTTTTTACTCCTTTTTAAGTAGATATTGTATCTCAATAAAAGTTGATTCTATAGATAAGAATTTGACTAATATTTTACAAAGGCTTATGGAAATTCACACTTAAATCAGGTACTAATTCAAAATCGTATTGAATAGATTTTAAAACACATATATTTTTTCAATTTGTTTCGTCCAAAATAATCGTGTCGTCGGCTTATTGAAGCAGATTTACATGAAGAATGGATGAGATTTTAAAAGGGTGAAACTTTGCTTGAGCAACAACATTCTTCGACAGACCTGTTAGACCCTCAATAGCTATGATAGAAAGAAATGGAGATAAGGGGTCTCTTTGACTGAGACCACATTCAACAGAGAAATTCATAGTTGGACTTCTGTTGACTAAAATAGAGAAATGGTGAGATCCTAGTGAGAGAAGTTTATAGAGGTAAAATGAGAAATTATTAGGATTGAAGACTAAAAATTAGCAGAATTTTAGAGGTATCTAATGGGATAGAGAAAAACTTCTAAATATCTTGAATTTGTGAGATTCATATATTGAGAGTTGGAGGAGATTGTAAAACACTTGATTAAAAATAGGAGATTCATGCGCATTGAGATTGAGATTGTCAAATTGCCCTTTATTGTCGTCTTATGATCCAGGGAGAGCCCTTGCTTTACGCAGGTGAAAATGGAAATGTCTGGTGAGTGAGAGTAGGTAGACTTGAGAACATGTGCATTAAATGTCCAACTTGTATCTAAAATATTTTATAATGTTATTCCTTTGCATGGCTTCAGGCCCTTAGAGGAGGGTGTGACACCTCTGTTTAGATTACTCGAGTGTTGTTGCGATCTCGAGGTTGATTTTCCACTATTTCATCTTTTAAGCCTTCCTTCATTCTAGGTCGTAGACGCTACACCATATAAAGGAATAAACATCGTTTTTTTGTCATAGACAACGCTTTAAAATGCTTCCTATTCTTGCACTGCTGTAAGTAAAGACAACACTTTTTGTCAATATAAAAGTGTTGCTTAATGTAGTCTTTAGGCAGAACTTTATTCAATAAGCGCTCTCCAAAGGCCCCTATAGGCAGCACTTTTTACATCAGAAGCGCTTTCTAAAGCATCCATTTAGACAACGCTTTCACTTTAGTCAACACTTTTAAAAGCGATGTGCAATGTATATTTTTGTTCAATTTTTTTGTTTTAGGCAACGCTTTCTTTAAAAGCGCTCTCTAAAGTCCCTTTTAGTATGCGCTTTTACACTTTAGAAGCACTTTCTAATGCACCCCTTTAGGCAACACTTTTTTGTTTAAAGCGCTGCCTAATGTTCACAGATTTTTTTAATATATACAACTTATAATTTAAGCGCTCTCTGAAAATAATCACTTAAAATAAGCGATGTCTTTCGAATTTACACCATATTTCATAAATTTGCAGCTTCAATCAAATAATTTATATATACATAAATTTGATACAACTTGAATATATATATATATATATATATATATATATATATATATATATATATATATATATATATATATATATATATATATATATATATATATATATATATATATATATATATATATATATATATCTTCTAGAGTTGTTATCTTCTCTACAAACAACAACAATGAATAATCCTAAATGAACGTATTATCTCTATATCTTCTACATATGCACCTACCTAAAACAAAATCAACAAAGGCATATCAGAACCAAGCTATATAACACTTAAATCTTATAACTATTATAATTTTGGTTTGTAACAAAAACAAGTCAAGAAGCTGTTATAATCCACCATTAAAAATTCTCCAATTCATACCATGATACAAACAAAACTTTATTTGAATTTAACTCCAATACTATCATAACTAACCTTCCACATGACAACAACAACATTACAACACAATTTACCATACTAATGACGACATAGTATCTCATAAAAACTCAAACTTATATATACTCAAAATTCTCATCAATGAAAGTGTCACAGTACCTTATAAAATTCTCATCTTAATAATGTATTGACACCAATCCTCCTTAATTTCGTCCAATTTATCTTTCGAGTAAGTAGAAGACTTGAATTCATTAAAGTACTATATAATATAACATAATATGATTTAGTTAAAACTAATTAATTAGATGAAATGTGTTAAATATTAAAATAAATCATAAGTTAAAAATTCATACAATGGTTGAAATCTCCATTTGATTCAAAAGAACAATTTCTTTCATAAACCTCAACATGAAATAACCGCAATCTATATCATTACGCTGACGAGGATACTACACATGAAAAAAATACGAATATATATCAAAATATAAAGTTTGACCTGTTTTATCAAGTAGCATCACTAATATAATCAAAATTGTGAAAATATACATGCACTTTGATCCATGTAATATTATTTGCTTTACTTTTTGGTACTTGAGAATCTCTTTGTGATTGAAAATTTTGTATAACTCTAACAAAATATAAATGAATATTTAAAATAATCTCACATAAATAAATAAATAAATAAATATACAAACAAATATTTAGAACAATCTAACTTACGTATCAACCATCTTCTTAATGTCTGGGTATTTTGTCCAATCACCTTCTAATGGATCTAGATAATATACAATTTCTCTTATACGATTAATCACAACCAACAATCAGTGTCCACTGTAAGATTAATAAATGGTAGATAAAAACTTTATACACAATATCAAAACACGAAAACTATAATAGATGAAGTTAGAATGAAAATCTAACCCAATGCCAATATTAAATGGTAAAAAACAACTTTTTTGTATTTTTGTTGGCCATAAATGCACAGAAAAAGTACTCTTTGATTTTATCTAGTCTTTGATTGATTAATTGTGAGTTGACATTATTGGGAGATAAGAAACAGAATCTTTGTTCTAATTGATGCGGGCGCATCAAGTTGTCATACATGAACCTTAAATAAAAACATCATTAACATTAAGACTATTAATTGAAATGAGTAAATAAATTACTCAATTAATTAAATAAAGTTGATTGGAGTATACCTGATGTATGTATCAATAACATCGAGGCCTAATTCGGAATGTCCAAAAACATGATCCATATCCTCTTTACTAATTATTTTCTAATAGGAAAAACCAAAAATACATTCCTCCATAGGTATATTACGAGTACCTCCGTCAGTCAAATATGATATTCCTATTAATGTCTGAAGTCACGACCTATACCGAGAAGTAGGCTTCTTTTAGCTGCGTTCTTTGCAACATCCTTTTTTTATCTGGACATGTTTCTAATTTCAGGCTTCTTACTCCCACTGACTTGTTACATCTCTTTAGCATGAATCTAAAGATCAAATGCATATAATTTAGGTGAAGTATAAGATCGGGAATTAACATTTTCTATGTATGTATCAATGTACCTCTTTTTTGGATGCAACTGACTCGGTTTTCCGCGTAATCCCCTTATCTTTTGATTTGGATTTTGTAGGAGTCTAACATTACCATGAAAAAATTGTACGCTAAATGGTCGTAAAAAAATTGAATACTCAAAGGTTCATAAAGGTTTTCAACATACCTCATCATCTATGCAAATGAGGTTTGACGATCATGCAACATACGATCTTATTGCCTCTCCCACCAATGTTGCATCTGAAATATCGTCAGGTAAAGGTAATGACACATCCCTCTCTAAAGAAATATCAATTGATACTTTCAAAAATCCAGTAAAGAATGGTTTATGGTGAAGTACTTCTCCCAAAGTGTTATGTACATTTCCTTTGTCAACCATGCGATAAGTCAGTGATGATAAATAAAGGTGACAAGGTGAAATGCCCTAAACCAGTTAAATATGAAATTGTTAATGTGCATATATGTTAATTTAAAAAATGTGCTAATTCATAATAATATATATTACCTCTGGAATTTTCTGTTAGAAATCATAATTGATACTATCTTTGTCAGTAGTATCCTTGAACCCTGAACCTT